GGACTTGTATCGCTGAAGTTTTTCGGAAAAAATTTCTACGGAAAATTAACCAACGACCAGAGACGTAACAGTATAATCGCAATCAAGAGAAGAAAATATGACATATTATTAGGAAATCATAAGAGATTTTGTCAAATCTGTTTAAAATTACTTTCTATAACTGTTATTTTTAAAATCGTTCATGCACATAAAGCACATTCCCATTAGAAAAAAGGAGGCACCCACTTTTTAGGAAATAAAGTTTGAATGGTAATAAAAGAAACTTCATTACCCATTTTAGTCGTCTCCAAACTCTACTTGAAAAAGAGTTAACTGGGATCTGGTTTTCAGGCAACACTGTCTATATATGTGATTGTTTAGTCAAACTGATCACTGGACATAAACACAAATTTTCAAATGTTGACAAGGATATAATCAGAAAATAAATTTCCTTCAGAGGGTATTATAAGGTCTACTTTTCCATCGCGTTCAGGTTCTTAGGTTCCTTGAATTGTGAAATATTATTATTTATTTATTACATATGTAAATTTTTAGTGTTGATGACGAGATCTGCATAAGAAGCTATCTGTACTCTGTCACCACACGGAATCGAACCCTTGATTTTAGCAAAAGAAGTACGTATACTTATCGCTTACTCCTCGGAGATCATGTGTTCTAGACAGTTAACAGATATTAACCTGAAAAGTTTTGTCGAGAAGAATTATGGCCATCCAATAATTATAAACACTCCTTTGTGTTTGACCAGATATCAGAAGCAGACGTATATAAATACTTAGTTCTAAATATAAAATGTTAAAATATAGAAAAGCGGCCATTGTTATGACGTGGCAAGAACAGCGATTCGTTGATATTACTGTACAGGTACTTTCTCGCCATATTGTCTGTGTCTGGTTCCGATCCCAACTTCCAGGTAAAGGAAAAAAAACAAGGAAGAATACTCTAAGACGGGAAATTGTTTAATTACGCTGTTATACATAACGTGCCGAAATTGGATGAGAGATACTTCAGTATATTTTGCTGTGTACGCATTTGTTTGATAGTGACAGTTTCTGTTATCCGAACGATTGGTGTTTGCGTAACCGGGCGTAAATCTTATTGAGTTATTCTTGAAACTTGTTAATCACTCTATTGTTAATATGTTATTAGTTTATCTAATTTCGAAATAGGCCTCGTTAGGCCTAACATTCGTATCAGCCGGTGTTTTCATTACTAATTTAGGCCTAGCACTATAGGTTGACACTTCATTGAACTATTAATTTATCTAAAGCTTGTTATGTAGCACTTTTTCACTAAAAAAAGGTCTTCTTTATCTTTGCTTAATAATGTAAATATACAAATATCATAAATTAGCAGTACCTGCCCAAATTAAGTCTTAAGATAATGGTTTTCTAATTGACATAATATTATATAAAGTAATTCAACTTATTTGTGTCGTTACTGTTAGAACTTGAACTTAAATTAAAATTCTGAATCAGCAGTAAATGTGCGTGTTGCAACTTGGCTTAGTCGGTTAATGGCAATAGCAGTTAAGACTATATTTTAATTTTTTTTTAGGCTTTGAGTTTGGATGAACAGTGTTGTTGTGTGCTTCTAAAAATTGTTAAGTAAACTGAATCTTGAAATCAACAGCCAAACATTACTTTTAATATTTAAGAAAAAATGTCAAATAATTAAATATTTATTTTTGTAAATGATTTACTGGCTAATTTTTTTTCTTACCTAAATTATACATAATATAAGCTAGTGGAGTGAATTTAGTCTTGGCTACATCATGGTGGTAATAGAAGACAGAAGGTTGCTAACAGAAATGACAGCCAACATAGATTCATCAAACTGGAAATCATGACTTACTAATCTGATATCATTTTGTTTTGAGGGTGTTGCATGGATGATGTAAACTGTGTGAACTATGTGTACCTAGATTTTCAAAAAGCTTTTGATGAGGTGCCACATGAAAGATTAGCCAAGTAATTCACATTAATATTAACTTCTGGTCAAAACAAGCTCTCTAGATATATCAGAACTCAAAATATACCAAGTAATGAGCATAGTTAATTAAATCTTATTTATAGTAACCTGAATGCTTCTTTTCACCAGTTGGGCACCTATTTTGGTAGAATTTGGGGAAATACTTTAATTGTTTTGGAAGGTGGATAAAATTAAAAAGTTGATGGAGCCCAGTCAGACTATACTCCTGTTCGTAGTGGAGTGTCTTGGGGTCAGTGCTAAAGCCTTTGCTTATGTACCTTAATGATATTGTGAGGGTCATGATTAGTAAATATTGGTTGACAACATTAAATTTGCAGGTTTTTTCTAGCTCTATTAAGAATGTTGTGGTAGTACAGAATGAAAATTTTGGAAAGTTGAACAAGTACTTGGCAAGAGACTTTTAATTGTAATATTTGCAAGATAATACATTCAGGTTGCCGTAATTTAGACAACGTGGAACCAGGGCAGTGGTGGCTTGTCAGAAGATGAACGTGTAGTTTTTTTTAATCTGTAAAATTTCTATATAATTGCAACAGAAAGAGCCAAACTTTATTGCCAAGCTTAGCAAGGATTCTGAAGCTAACTTCACAGCTAATGGAACTAATTAGAATTTAAGTTTAAAAACAAATATTAAAAATCATTTTAATGAAAGTTTACAACTAGAGGAGCATACAAGCTGTGCAAGGTTGCTGGTACAAATGTAATAACTTTAATTATTCATTCTGTTTAAAGATATAAACAAAAATATGGTATGCTGTGACTTTGTTAAAAAGTGTAATGTTTTACCTTGACTTGGAGAGTATTTCAGAGTTTTATAGTTCAAACAGTAGTTAGCCATTGTCTGGCATGATGACAGTTAATGCCTAAAGTAAGTACCCATTTTACTGTTCTTTGTTTGGGGGTTGGGATTAAAATATTATTGGCTTCCTCTTCATTATTAACTGTGAGCCACTACTGCTGGTACTGTACCAAGATGTGAAAATTTTGATTTATGAAACACGATACACATTTTGTGAAATATTAAACACTCATAAAATAAAAAGTGCCTTACCAAAACTGTGTAGACAACTCAATCTCCAGATACAAAAATGAATATTCAAAAGATAAAAGAAAACAACATTGTTAATATCGAAATCACAAAATAATGATAGCAGTATAATAATGATTCAGGAAAAAAAGAACCACAAGAAAATATTATTCACAATAACAATATTAGGTGCTTTCCAAAGAAAATAATGTTAAATCGCAAATAAAATATCATCGCTTCACTAATTTGATCTAACTCTTCAATCTCTCGTCCTTGTCGGCCTGACTTCAAAGTCTTAACGCTTTCTGTTGTCTTGCCAGACCTTACATGAATAATTGATAAACATCTGTTTTACTTTATTAACCATGAGTTGTGTATCCACGTGTTAACACTGTTGGAATTTTGATATACGTATACACCAGGAGATTGGTGAGTTAAGGCAAGGAAACCTTATCACCACCAAAAATAGAAATTGTTACCTCAAGTTCCCCCTTTGAGAAACAGAAAATGTTGGCAACAGTCTCTTAATTCCCAGCTTTCCTCGTTATATCAAATGTCCTTTGTACTAAGAGTAGGAACCCTATATTACAGGTACCTTAAAAAAGCATTTCTGTTTAAAATATTGTTTGGAATAGCTCAATATTTCCTCCCAGCATGTGGTTGACCAGCTTGAGCTACTAGAATCGGGTTCCTTGCATGGCCATCTTCAAAAGCGAAGAACTTGTGTCTTTATGGTAGTGGCAATAAAAGAAATTCAGGAGGAAGTGTTCTTGGTCCTGACTCACTTGAGCTGTAATATGATTGTAGAGCATCTGTAAAGATCTACCAACTGTTGGACAGAGGCTAGCTTGCATCTTGTATCTTCTCACACCAACCAATAACAGAGGCTAGCTTGCATCTCGTATCTTCTCACACCAACCAATAACAGTGGCTAGCTTGCATCTCGTATTATCTCACACCAACCAATAACAGAGGCTAACTTGCATCTCAGATCTTCTCACACCAACCAATAACAGTGGCTAGCTTGCATCTCGTATTATCTCACACCAACCAATAACAGAGGCTAACTTGCATCTCAGATCTTCTCA